TTACGTATGTGTTGTGCATGTGAGTTTGTCTTAATTAACCTAAATGTTCCTGATAAAAATCAGATCTTTATTATAGTAGCCACTCAAGCTCAGCTTGTGGGGTACTCAATCCTAACTCATTAACATATCGATTGTTTGAGCTGATACCACTCACTTACACTCTTATTTAAGGAGATTTTTTTAATTCTTTATTCATTTTTGCTAACAATTGGATTATTTATTCTTCCACTCTTAGCGAATTTTTCCTCCCATTAGCCAAATAGCTTTTGTTGAGGGTTGGTTTTGAAAATAAAAGATGCAAAACGAAAATAGAATTCATGGCCACATTATCTACTGAAAGGTCTATTCTGAGGTTTGGCCTTCTCTTGACTACCGATTACTCTACCTACCCAAACTTTCTCGATAACTATTGCGTAGTGGGGGCCCATTACCTTTCTTGTTTTTTTCCGCATCTGGCTTCTAAACTTTACGCACATGGTCCTAAAAGCTAGTGCCACGTCACTCTCCATACCCTTCTTCGTTGAAAACAGAATTTTGGTAGTCAACTGAAATAAAAGCTCAGTAAAATGAGATATTATTTCATGTAGAGTTCTCATGGAAAGATTCACATATATATATATAATAAATTTTCTCCAACTTTATAGAAAGCCTACAGCTCTATTTATAGCACTATCAAATAGTTAAGATAAACCAAAGGAACAAAATTGCTAAAGTTGGACCAAAAGACAACACATAGAATAGAGAGATATTGGGTACTTAGAATACAGGGAAAAAAATAGAACCACCATTATGTCCAATTAGTAGCATGTCATCACAGCCTGATGATATAGAAGAGATAGTGAGGGGCTAGCTCATTGTGTTAACTAGGGAACTCTAAGGCTATGTGGAAGTTGTGTGTGCCGGCAACGACATATGGCAGAGATGTTTTTTCGGTGGTAGCTATTAGTTTTGTATGGAATATGATTGTTTTGATCAATCATGTTGTATTACTATCTCGGATCTCAATTCCACCATTTAAAACTCTTAGTGTAATAAGGGTTAAATTTAATATGCCCTCCCTGATAATTTTATTTTTTGCCCCCAACAGACATTTTTTTCATGCAATTTCCCCATCCAAAAATCTAAAAGCCTCTTTGCCACCCGTTATTTTCATGCAATTATATTGAAATTTTCTAAGACTAACAAACAAGTCTGTGAAAAGGGTTTATGTGCAAAATAAGTTTATTTTTGCTTCCTCATATATTTTTTAATTTTTTTTAAATTTACCACTTGCCTCTCGAGAACTAATTAAGGCTGGTTCCGACCCTGGATAGGAACTGTGAATGAGGAAGAGGAAAGAAATGAAGAGGGAGAGGAGATAAGGTAGGTGGAGAAGAGATAAGGTAGGTGGAGTATAGCTGTGTGGATAATGGTAGGGGGACTTTACCCTGACCCGTCTGCCAAACGGGTTGACTCAAACCAAAAATTTTCATGTCAAATTTTTGGATCGTGTCTAATATTGACACTCCTAACTATATGTATATGCAATTGGGTATTTCCTATTCTCGTGGCAACTGCAAATCAAATATTTCTGAGGATTGATATGCATAAACACTCAAAAAATTTCATTTATATATTATCCTCTAAATTTTACTATTTATATAATATGTCATCTTCTTTAACTCTGTTTCAACAAATAGTTTATAATAAATATATTCGTATTAAAATTTATTCATAAATAAAACATGTGTAATTTTATGTCATTTAAACATAATAAAAATATCAAATATAAAAATTTTAAGTCCAATTTAATTGAATTGATTTAGAGTATTCTAGCCTAACTTTTTTTTCCTAATTTAAAATATAAGACAATTTAATTACTATAAAATAATATTTCAATTTAATTTTTTTTTCTTAGGATAAGATATAGCTTTTTATTGTTCTCCTATAATCTTTCTGGCATTATAAATAAATAAAAGGGTTGATATGCAAATATATTTTGTGTAAGTACCGAATGTTTTTTTTTCCAAACCCCCCTTAACATAATTCCCATTGCTATATAAGCACTCGCATGTGAAAGGCTCTTGAAGCTAACAAACTCCACTATGTCTCTCTTCCTCATCGCGTCACTCCTCCTCTGCCTTTCTCTCCACCTCCTCCTCCGCCGCCGCTACTGCAGCCGCTTACCCCTCCCACCCGGCCCCCCAAACCTCCCCATCATCGGCGCCCTCTCCTTCATCGGCCCCATGCCCCACTCCGGCCTCGCCCTCCTTGCTCGCCGATACGGCCCCATCATGTTCCTCAAGATGGGCATCCGCAGCGTCGTCGTCGCCTCCTCCGCCGCCGCCGCTCGAACCTTTCTCAAAACCTTTGACTCCCACTTCTCCGACCGCCCCTCCGGCGTCATCTCCAAGGAAATCAGTTACAACGGCCAGAACATGGTCTTCGCCGATTACGGCCCCAAGTGGAAGCTCCTCCGCAAAGTCTCCAGCCTCCATCTCCTCGGCTCGAAGGCCATGTCTCGCTGGGCCGGCGTGCGGCGCGACGAGGCCTTGTCCATGATTCAATTCTTGAAGAAACACAGCGATTCGGAAAAGCCGGTTCTGCTACCAAATTTGTTGGTTTGTGCCATGGCGAATGTGATTGGGAGGATCGCGATGAGTAAAAGAGTGTTTCACGAGGACGGGGAGGAGGCGAAGGAGTTTAAGGAGATGATTAAGGAGCTGTTGGTGGGGCAGGGGGCTTCGAATATGGAGGATTTGGTGCCGGCGATCGGGTGGTTGGATCCGATGGGAGTGAGGAAGAAGATGCTGGGATTGAATCGGAGGTTTGATAGGATGGTGCGTAAGTTGCTGGTGGAGCACGCTGAGACTGCAGGGGAGAGGCGGGGGAACCCGGATCTGCTGGATCTTGTTTTGGCTAGTGAGGTTAAAGGTGAGGATGGAGAAGGGCTTTGTGAAGATAATATTAAGGGCTTCATCTCTGTAAGTAAATCTGGGAATTTTGATTTTGATTTTTTTTCAAACATTTGGAAGGAATTAAGAAGCTCACGAATTTAAGTATTTTTGAAGGTATTATGAAGTTATCGAGCTTAAATTTTAGCTCATCAAATTTCTTTTCAACTCTAAATATATTTTAAAATATAATCTATATATTTTTAAGAATTTTAACTCATATAAAGATAAACTAATCCACCCATCACAAGTTGAGAAAAAAATTCTTTTATTTAAATTGAACTTAAATTTAGTCACGATTAATATGGATGCCAAAATGGTTTAATGGATCGAGTTCGGATTTGACTTGATGTGAATTCGACTTGTTTAAAAAACAGGTAAAAAAGATAGCCTCGAATCTAGGGGTGTCAATATTTGACACGACCCGAAAATCCAACTTGAACCCAACTCGAAAATTCTGATTTATGGTCAATAGGAACCCTAAACGGGTCGATTTCGGGTTCAGTAAATCAACCCTTTCAAAAATCAGGTTGGGTTCGGGTTGACCCAGCAACCCAAAGTTGACTCGTTTTTTACCCGGAAATCTGAGATTCACCCATTTTTTACTTGAAAATTAGAGATTGACCCTTTTTTTACCTGAAAACTAGCAATTTTCGCTCTCGGGTCATTCGAATCGTGTTTATTGACCCAGATTCGAAGAGGATCAGGTTCAAGTTCAACAAATTGACCCGTTTGCAAAAATAGGTAGGGTTCGAGTTGACCTGAATAGTGCCAGATCAATTTCAGGTTCGATCCGAACCTGACCCGTGATCCGAAATTGACATCCCTACTCGAACCCAACTTGATTTCAACCCTCATAACCTGTTTTGGTTATATTTTTTAATAACTTGTCAAATATAAAATTTAGGTAATTGATAAAAAATAAGAAGAGGACAGCAAAATAATTTAAGAAAAAAATAAATAGGCTATTTTCGGATTAAAATTAGGTTAGGGATTAACTCGAGCCGACCTGTATATTCAAACCCAACCTGATCAATCCGAATCAGAATTTTTTGAATTTTTTTTATTTATTTATTTTATTTTTTTAATTTGTTTTTATTTTTAATTTTTGAAATTATATAAACAAATCTAAATATTTAATGATGAAGATTAGATTATATTTTCATGAAGAACTTATAGCCGTTAAATAACTCTATATGGTATATATCTGCAGGACCTATTCGTGGCGGGGACGGACACCTCCGCCATAGTCATAGAGTGGGCGATGGCGGAAATGCTTAAAAACCCATCAATCCTCCGACGAGCACAAGAAGAAACCGACCGCGTCGTCGGCCGCCACCGCCTTCTCGACGAATCCGACATACCAAACCTCCCCTACCTCCAAGCCATATGCAAGGAAGCTCTCCGAAAGCACCCTCCAACGCCGCTCAGCATACCGCACTACGCCGCCGATCCCTGCGAGGTGGAAGGCTACCACATTCCCGGCAAGACTTGGCTGCTCGTCAACATATGGGCCATTGGGCGGGACCCGGACGTGTGGGAGAACCCGCTGGTGTTCGACCCGGAGAGGTTTCTGCAAGGGAAGATGGCGAGGATCGATCCGATGGGAAATGATTTCGAGCTCATACCGTTCGGAGCCGGGCGGAGGATTTGCGCGGGGAAGCTAGCGGGGATGGTGATGGTGCAGTATTATTTGGGAACGTTGGTGCATGCCTTTGATTGGAGTTTGCCGGAAGGGGTTGGGGAGCTGGACATGGAGGAAGGGCCGGGGTTGGTGTTGCCGAAGGCTGTGCCGCTAGCGGTGATGGCGACGCCGAGGCTGCCGGCGGCGGCTTATGGGCTTAATTAAGGGAGAACGAATTTATGTTGAGATTAAGCATATAAGTTCAAGTGAATTGTGAAATAAATTACGTTAGAATATTTTTATATGATTTTTTTTCTTGGTTAAAATTAGGGAGATTTTTCTTTATGTACGAATTAAACTATTAAATATAAATAAAGAATAATCTCTTGCAATGTTGAAAGAATTTGAACAGTTCATGCTTGCTCGCTTTGCTTTTTTTTTTTTTTTTTTTGTTGCTTTCTGATTTTTTTTTTTTTTTTTTTTAATGTTGCTTTCTGATAGGGTTGCAAATGAATCGAGCCGAGTCGATTATGTAAGTGTTTATGTTTGAGTTCGTTTATAATTACCTTGTTCAAGTTTGGTTCATGTTTGATTCGAGCTTTATTGTTTGTGTTCATGTTTGATTTGTTTAATTTATTAGTGTTCTTGTTTGGTTCATGTTTTGATTCATGTTCTATTTGTTTCGTGCTTATCGAGCTTTAAACAAATGATTAACGAGTTATGTTCGTGAACATATTTAACAAATAATCTATTAAACAAACAAACTTTAAATTTGTTCATGAATATCTTAAACAAATAATCTAGCAAACATGGATAAATGTAAAATGTCACTTGATCATGAACAAATTCATTATGTAAATTTAAAATGCTGTTCAAATTTGTTTGTTTAGTTAGTTAAAAAATCACAAACGAGCTTTAATTGAACCGAGCAACGAGTAGCTCGTTAAATGATTGGTTCGCTTGCAGCCCAATTTTCTGAATCAAATTTTAATAGAATTTTTTCTTTTTTTGGAGTTTTTTTAAATTCAAAAGCTGTTGACTAAGAATGTCATCACAAGAAAATTGTCCAGCAAAAATAACTTAGCAATAGTGAATGTTAAAATTAATTTTTCAACATAGAATTCTTTAAATAATGGCTGAATAAAATTATGATTGTAATTGATATAGCATACAAAAATTTTCTTGATTAGGCACAAATCTCGAAGCAAAATGAGGTTGGAAACTTCCAAAATTAAATTTGGGATCATCCAAACTATGATTTTAGCAAACTTATAGGCGAACTGAATGTCTCAAAAATATGAACCCAACGTCACCAAATTAGACTCAATCCGAGCCCAAATGGGTCCAAATCAAGGACTCGAAGCGTTGTTGAAAGGTTCAAACAGCAGTTTGGTTTACCAAACGGTTTCCAAACATGGCATGCTTATACTCGAATTGAGCGGCTCGACGAGATGAATCCAAAGAGACAAAGATCATTGAATTCTGATATCATTAAGATAAGCAAATGCCCAATAAAAATAAAAAATAAAAATATAAAAAATAAAAAAATAAATAAAAAATGCCCAATAAACAGTCCACGATCAAGGGATTAAACATCAGCCGTCCATCCAAACCACTACCAAAATATCCTTGATCTTCCATCTATTTACAAGCTATGTCACTCTAGAAAATCTATAAATAGAAACTCTCTTCTCATGAAAAGTGTCACGACCCGACCCGACGGGGACGGATCCCGCCCGAGCCGACTGTACAAAAAATCAAAAGGTACAAACAATACCTATACGGATCAGAACTCAGAAATCTACTCCTGGACTTCCTTCCCTTTCCCAGAACCTGAAAACCACCAGAAAACAAGAGTGAGCTCAACAGCTCAGCAAAGCAACAAACCTCCAATCAAAACTCTCAGAATCCAAAACCAAACTCATCAGACAGAAATCAGATCAGAAATCGGAACAGAATCGTACAAATATCAAATCAGACATATCAGAACAAAA